TTAAATGGTTGAATAAAAAATTATATAAGAAAAGATGACAAATATTAAAGTAAATAATGACAATAATAATAAAGCCTTGTATCAAATAAAAGAAACACCTAAATGATTTATTAAATGAAAATAAATATCAACATAGAAGGAAAAGTAGAGTGTAAATCTATCATAAAAACAACAATTTGAAAATAACAATACAGAGAATGATGAAGAATATCTTAATACTATCAACAATAAAGTAAAAGAAATGGAAAAAAGAGAAATGTACTAATATTAATTATTATTTTCAAAGAAAAGAATCAGATGCATTAATAAAAGAAAATAATAATAAGTGGCTATTGTCATGAAGCAGAATGCATGAAGTGGAAGATGATAAGAAAAAGAAAAGAATGTGTATGTATCTTTATCTCCAGAAAGTATTAGATTAAATAAAGAAATAAAAATTGAAAATGACATTATTAAAAAAATAAAAAATTTTATGATAAAAAAGTAGGAAGGATGTTGTTGGAGCATTACTTCTGTCATAGCCAAACATTTGTTGCAGAGCTACTAGAAAACAACTCATAGAATCAGTTATCTCCAATGAGGTAGTAACAATAGAAAACACTTCTATTGATACTTAATTAATTGCTTTTTAGTTAGTTTACACTAAGAATAATAATGGAATAACAACAAAATCTGTTGAAATAAACAAAAGAAGAGATAAATGATTAATGAACCAATCACCAATAAAACAAACAAATGAATGAAAGAAATAACCAAGAATATACACTAAAAGAGAGTGAAAGTACAAGGCTATAATAGTTCAAGAAATGAAAGGATGATGTGGTTCTTCATCATCATCTATGAAATAAAAAAAAACAATGATAATTGAATTGTTCAATAACCATCAATTTGTTCAATACATTGAAATGAATGTACCAATCAAACTTGAGATGATTTACTCAGAAATTGAAGAACAAAAGAAATTAGCATTACATCAAATAACATTAATATACAATGGGTATGTATTGCCAAAGAAAGGAAAATGTGAAGAATGGAATATTAATGATAAATCAACTATCAGAATGATACTCCCTCTTGTGTGTACTATTAACAAACTCTCACAAACTGAAGGACCATGCTGTGGTGGAACAAAGATTTTCATCAATGGGAGATTTCCATATTCAGGAAGAAAGTATCAAGTAGAATTTGGAACTATTACCACATTGGCAACATTTAAATCACATACAGAACTAATTGTAATCACACCTGCACATGAACAAGGTGTGGTTAATGTTAGAGTGTGTTATGAAGGAGGAGAAGAATCAAATCCATTACTCTTCACATTTGTACGATTTGAAGGATTTAATAGAAAATATGCAAGATGTGCAACAACACCAACATTCACATTAGGTGATAATATCCAATATTCTATTCAATAAAAATTAATGATATTGGTTGATATTCACATTTTCATTTCCATTTCAAATTATTTAATAAAAGAAATAAAAAGAACTGAAAAAGGAATAACAAAGAAATGGATAATGATGATAGATTTAATCAACTCAACGCTCTTATTAGAAAAGAAACTCTAAACATCAAAGGATATTGTATGAATGATAAAAGAATGGTATGTGTAAGTGATACTAATACAATTATTTGTTATAAATTTGATACACAAGAAAGTACTATTCATACACCACCACCATTAATAAAATCAGCCCCAGTCATTAGTATTGATTGTTACGATGATTTAATACTTACAATTTCAAGTGATTTCACAGTACTAGTCATTGAAATTCAAACATATCGAGTGTTTTATCGACAAGTGATTGCAGGAGCAACAAAAGGATATTTCTTATCACCAAGAATCTTCACATTATATTCAAAGGATAAAACACTGAGAGTAATTGAATATCCTGATCCATCAATTCTTGGGTTTGGACAACGTGGACATGTTGATGTCTTATCAAATTCATGTTTAACACATGTTACAGCAAAAACAAAAGAAGTTGGACAATTCATGTTGGCAACAAGTAAATCAGTGTTTTTATGGCTATGTGATTTAAATGATGAGAAAATGAATAGAAATGAATCAAAGTATCAGAGCTGCATTCCACCATTCACATGTCCACCAACAGAGTATTATCTCTATAAGAAGATCCAAAGTATTTCCTCCCCTCCTCTTCTTCAATTTCAAAAGAATGAAATACTACCACATATTTGTATATTACATAACAACAATGTGAGTTTATATGAAGAAAGATTTGATGAAGGGAAGTTTACGGTTGAACTACTGAAAGAAATCGAAGTTAAAACACCAATATCTATTATTTGCTGTGACACATTCATTTTAACACAATACAACAATCAAATTCAAGTTGTTTATGGGAAAGGAGAAAAAGAAATAATAAATAATACACAAATAGAAGAATGTCAGAATAATGAGAAGGTGATAGTAATGGTCACAATGAATATGTTCAAAAGTCTTGATATGCCAACAGAAGATGAAGTGATCGATGAGATAGAAAATGAAGAAGAACAACTGAAGATATGTATTGAAACAAAAGGGTCAATAAAAATGAAAAGAAAAGGAAAAGAAATAATAAGCAAAATGGCTAAAGAAGGGAAAGAATGTTGGGAATATGCAAAAGAATTAGAATGTATTGATACATTAATTGAATATACTCCCAAAGAACAAAAAGAAACAATACTAAATAAAGTAATCGAAGAAATAATGGAGAAAGGAAAGAAAATAGAAATAAATAAGAAAAGTGTATGGGAAGTATTTGTGAATGGATTGAAAAATAAAGATAATACAATAAGTGAAAGAATAATAGGATATTATTCAAATGTATTAGACATTGCATCAGTGATCAGTATATGCATTGAATATTCAAGATATTCTACTATTTTCACATTGTATAGGTCATTAGGTAAAAAGACAATTGAAGCATTTCTTATTGTTTCACATAATATTCTCAATCATGGAATTACACCAACAAGTCTAGTTGATGAAGGTATGAAAAAGAATATTGAAATGATTATTACAAATGCACAACGATGTAATGCAGAAGGAAATGACAAAGAAATGATTGATACCATATTTAATAATACACATGGAATGTCATTAATTGAAGCAGGAATTATTGTTTGTAAAGAAAAAACAATAGATGTAGTGAGAGACATTAGAGAAAAGAAAGAAGTTATCTCAGGATTAATAGAAATAATGAAAAGCCCCATTACAGAGGTTAAAGAATGTGTAGCAAGAGAAGTGGTTAGAATGAAATGTGGAGAACAAGGAATGAAAGAAGCTATTTTTATTGTTTTAACATCAAAGGATTACAATAAAGAAGATGAAGAAATGTGTAATGAAGGAATTAAAGAATGTGTTAAAGAAAGAAGTGGAACAGAAATAGATAAAATAGTCAAAGCAGCATTTTCAGTTAATAATAAGAAAATCTTACGTAGATTAAAAGAATGTGAAACGGCACGTGATGCATTAATGACAATGGACATTATTCAAAAAGGAGATGTTTGGAATGAGATAGAAAGATGGATTAGAAAAGGAATAGAAAGAGAAAATGTTGAGAAAACAGTTAAAAAATTCACAAAACGAATGTATGAAATGGATATAAAGAAAACAATCATTATTGGAGTTAAATATGTTGCAAGTTGTGGGTTATATTGTTTAGTTCAACCAAACACACCACATGAAATCATTTATGAATATGGAAGAATATTAATGAATGACCCAAGTCCAATCATTCAAAGAAATATGAGCTGTATTGTTATGAAGGTAATTGAGAGTTGTTATGAAATGAAAAAAGACACAACAGAAATCAGACAAATCATCAATAGAAAAACATGTGATTTGGATAAAGTCATTCAACTGGCATTAAAATTCAAAGATGAAAGAACAGTGTTGATGATTAGAAGAAAGAAAGGAGAAATTGAAGAATGTTTTAAAAATCTTCAAAGAAGAAGTACAACATGTTTAAATGAGTTAGACAAACAAAGTCAAAAAGAAGAAGAAGGAACTGAAAAGAAAGAAGAAATCAGTGAGATGTATGAAGGAATCATGGAGGATCTCCGAGAAGTAAGTGAAACATGTCAATTAACAGACATAACGAAAAACGGGGAATGTGTTGAAGTGATGAAGAAATGCAATGAAATAATGAACCGAAGAAGAGATTATTATGAAACATACAACAAAATGTATCGAGAAATAGTTGAAATAGAATGTTCAATGACACCAATAAAAGAGTCAATTCAATTTTGTTGTAAAATCACCGAAGGTGTTTTATTAAGAATGGTATTAAATGACTTAATGAAACAAAGTCAATCGAAATTAACAATGTATAAAACACTCCAGATTATTGCGAATGAACAATTAAAACAATCAACACAACGCCATAACAAAGAACTAAAAAAAGGAGTTATTACAAGAAAAGAATGTATTATTTGTCATAAAGAAAAGGATGAAATACTCAATGTGTTTGGATGTGGTCATAGTTATCATTCAACGTGTTTAAATTCATCAGGAATATGTTTAGAATGTAATCATCTTATGAACTAACATATTCTATTCACCACATTATGACTATATTCATGTTGTTAAATCAAATAAAATGAGATTTGATAAGAAGACAATAAGTCATTTATTTACTATTGTCATTTCATGTTGTTATCTTTTATTCATCAAAAATCAATCACCATTTGTTTTGATTAATTGATTTTGATTAACAATCTTCAATGAGTTGACTGATAAATCTTTTAAACAAAACAATGATCAAAACCAATTAAGAGATAATCTGAAATGGAGTAATGGTAGTGAGAATTGAAAGTTTGAATCAATTCACTGTGCTTTACTTTATCGTAACAATAAAACCAGAAAAAAAAAGAAGAAGAAAGTTGAATAAGTACTATTTCAAAAATAAAATAATTTTATATACGTCTTAACAATAAAAGAAATTCAAAATAAAAAAGAATGGAAAATAAAGCAATAAAATAATAAAGAAAGAATGAAAATAGGATATAATGAAATAATGATAATATCAAAGTATTTTGATGATATTAATGATTTTATTAATTTAGAAATGAGAGTTAAAAGATTTCAAGGAAATATGGAACGATTTCATTTTAATCCAATTCCATTAAATCAATATTCAAGAAAATTGTTTCCTAATATTGAAACATTTCTTATTTATAATGAAAAAGATGAAATATTTGAAGATGGAAGAATAAATAATTATGTAATATGGCATAAAGTGAGTTATTCAAGATATTTACAAGAGAAAATGTGTGAGTGAATGTAAAAACATAGAATATAGAGTGATATATAAAGGTACAATACCACCAGAAGTTACATCACTTGGAGTTGAATGTTTTTCTAATTATAAAGATTTAATAACATTTAGGATCCCAACAATTATTAATAAATTAGGAGTTTCTTGTTTCCATGGATGTAAGTCATTAATATCAATTAATATTCTAACAACAATCAGTAACATAGGAAATAGATGTTTTTATTGATGTACATCATTGGTATCAATTGGCATATAATCAACAATTCAAGAAATTGGACAATGACGTTTTAATGAATGTTATTCATTAACATCATTTACCATAGAAGATGTAAAATATATAAGTGAAGAAAGAATATTTGTAAATGAAACGATATTAATTAGTATTGAAATACCAAGAAATCCAGAAATAATAAATAGAAAAAATATAGAAAAGAAAAATATCAATGCACCTATTATCCCAACTACAATTAGTAAATTAGGTGATTATCGTTTTGAAGATTGTACCACATTGAGGTTAATTATTATACCAACGAGTGTAAGTGAACTAGGAGAATATTGTTTTATTAATTGTACATCATTAACTAGTATTGACATACCAACAACAGTTAGTGAAATAGGAAATGGATGTTTTGATGGATGTTTCAGAAAAAAAAATGAAAAAGAACAAAATGTTAAAGAAAATATATTATCAAAAATATTATACAAGTAATGATTGTATTATTGTTTAATTGAAATAAACTGTCAATGGATGATGTGTTATAAAAAAAGAATGCAAAGGCAATAACTAACTGAATGATATTGGTATTATACTTAATTATTTTTGGATTAATTAAATGATTATTTTATTTAATAGTTCAAAATTAAAAAGTCTTCAAAAGAAATGATAAAAGAATCAACAAAGTTCGATTTTATTATATTAAATGGGTATGTTTCTTATCGTTCTTCTTGGATGGTTCAAAGAGTAACATTTAATTGTTCATAATATTTGAATATTGTATTAGCAGCGAATTTAAATAAAGAATAAGAATGATTCATTATCATTAAGCATCAATTTCTCGAATATTTGTACAACATTAAAATGATGAATTTGGATATTTGTTATAATAATTTATAAAGATATTTCAACAAATAAATGATGGATATGATATGAATATATTTACAGAGTAAATGGAAATAATACATAGAATATCTTTTATGAATAATAATGTTATGATGTTAAAGAGTATAGAATGACAATAATAAAGAACAAAAGAATGAATGCAGAAAAATTAATAATAGTAATGAAATTGACGATAAAATAGAAGAGAATAATGATAAATGAATATATAATATCACATAAGAAAAATGTCATAATTTTATAATTAAAATTTATCATAATTTCTATTGACATTTGTATTATCAATATTAATTGTTTCTTCTTCTTTTCTTTATTTTGTAACATTATTTTATCAATTTGATTTGACATTTGTTTATCCAACAGAAAGAAATCAACTGGGAAGTTATTAGAGTGAGTGTATATTCCATTTATTGCCATTGGGCATTGTGTGAAGCAGATAAAAGTAAATGAGGAGTATGAAAGTTGACATTTCCGTTAGTATCAGATATTAAGAGATGTATTTCTATCAAATATTGAATGTTAAATGTAGAACCAGGAATTGTAAGAAGAGGATATGTCATCATTGATGATAAATGAAAAGTAAGATACATTCAAATGAATGATGATGGAATTGGAAGATCAACAGAAGAAACAATTAGAATAGTTAAAGCAATTCAATTCAGTGATGAACATGGAGCAGTTTGTCCACTCAGCTGGAAACCAGGAAAAGACACCATTGAACCCAACACCAAATGTAAATAAGAAATATTCGACAGTACATTAAAACAAACAAGATAATTTAATACAAATTATTTTATGGTTTATAAGAAGAAAATGACAATAAATAAAAGAATAAATATAGGTTTTACTAAATAATTTAAATGAAAAACAATAGAAAAAGAAATAAATATATAAATTTGTATAAAAATAAAGAATAACAGAAATAAAGAATATTTTAAATAATATAAGAATTAATTAAGGAAATGATATTATATAATTAATAAAATTATCATCATTTATTTTGTATTTAATTTGAATTGAGATTTAATTATTCTTCATATTTATTCTTTTATTCTTGCTTTTTCATTTGTATTTATATCATTTTATATTATATCCATTTATTTTTAATTGATATTTTTATTTCTTATTTCTTTTCTTTATTATTCTCTTTATTTAATATTAAAATATTTATGTTTATTATTATTCTCTATTTCTTATTTTATTTCTATTCTTTTTATTCTTTATTTTTATCTACTTTCTATTTATTCTATATTTTTGCTATTTTTACTTCTTCTGTTTTTCTTATATACTTCTTTATTATAATTCTTTTGTTTATTTCATTTCTTCTTTTTTTATCATCTTTTATTTTAAATTATTTGGATTATTTCATCATTCTTATTTCTTATTATCTTTTGTTTTTATGTTTTTATTTTATGTTATATTCATTTTTTCATTAAATATTGTGTCATTACTTATTGCTTATAAATTAACTTTATTTGTTAATTTATTTATCAACCGTTTATAAATTAACAAATATTTTATCGTTATATTTATAACTTTGTTTTATAGTCTGTGTTACTTTATATTTATATTATCATGTTTGACTTGAAACACAAAACCAAATAAATTATTATCAACAAATTATATGTTTGAGTTTTAATACAAAAATGTTGATAATAATTAATATATTCATCAAATAATAAATTCTAATAAGACTAAATAAATATTTGTTTATGTTATTACTATTTATTCTTATTCTTGTTTTATTCATTTGAATCATTTTATGATAAAGTCTGAATAAGAAACACATTAAAATAAACAATCAATAAATGATGAATATATTCTTAAAATAATAATGATTTGAATTATGAATTGAAATTATTATTCATTCATTGTTGTTGTTATTGTTTATGATTTATTTATTAAATTGAATGTTTATTTAATTTTGTTGAATAAATTACAAAAATGAATTGAATTTTAATTTAATATTTCATTCTATTTATTGTTAAATTTCAAAATACAACAATACATCGATATGATGAAATGAAGAATGAAATAGTCGAGTCATTATAAAATAAAATAAAAATAAAAGATAATAATAGAAAAAGAAGAGAATACATTTAAAGAGAAAAACTTACATACATTTCATTCAATGTTTATATTTCTATTGTTTATTGTAATTAGTAATGCAACAGAGAGTATTAACAATACAAAAGTAATACACACACAAATATATTCAAATAAACATAAAATAACATACAATGGATATGATATATATTTAAAAGGTAAAACTGATGTACCTAAAGAAACAATATCATTAGTACAATTATCACATGAAAATAAAGAATCAACACTAATAAATAATGTTCAAGAAGAGGAGAGTAGTAAAGAAAGTGGAACTTTAAGTGAACCAAATAGTAAAGGAACAATTAACTCGACAAGAAGTGATAGAAATAGTCAAACTGGAACAGTAGTAGAAGGACAAGAAGATTCAAGTATTAGTGGTTCAGGAACTACAGGAACAGTTAGTGGTAAAAATAATAGAGTAAGTGAAACAGGAAATACAAATGTCAAACAAGAAAATAAAGAAGGTGAAGTAGTTAGTGAGCAAGAAAGTACAAGTGCATGGAATGAAAACACAAAAGAACAAAGTGACAAAGAAGTTGTAAAACCAGGAAATACAGGAAGTAGTGGTACAGAACAAAAAGGAACAAGTGATACACAAAATGTAGGAACAGAAAGTGATGGAGCAGAAACAAGTGCAAGACATGGAAAAGATGAAAAACACCAAATAGTCAAGTAGAAAAAGATAATAAAAAAGGAAAAGGAGATAGTGAATGTACAAATGATAAAGGGACAAAAAGTACAGAAATAGAACAGAACAGATCAAATACAGAAATATAAGGAAATGATAAAAAAGAGAATGAAGAAGCAGGAAGTTCAAAAGAAGGTGTAAGTGATAAAGGAAGTAGTGGAACAGGAAATGAAGATAAAGGAATAGGAACTTCAGGAAAGAATAGCAAAGGAGGAGAAACAGAAACTACAACAGGAAAGAATGGAGAAAAAAATATTAAAGGAGAAAATGAAAAAGAAAATAAAGAAGAAAAAGAACCCAAGAATGAACAAAAAGATCAAGAACTAAAGAAAACCTCAGAAGATGAAAAGAAGAATGAACAAAAAGATGGAAACCAAGAAATCGATAATAAAACAGCAAGTAGTTCTGATAGTTCAGAAAGTAAAACAGATAATGATATTAATAATAACTTTGATAGTACAGCATCTACATTTATTATTCTTTGTCTTATCATTACATTTTTATTCTTCTAATTAAATATTCTTGTTTTTATTTATTAATTTTGTAATTGATTTTTTTAATAATTATTATATCTTTATTATCATTGTATTTTTTATTGTTTTATTATTAATTACAAATGATTTAACAGTCATTGTTTATATATTTTCTTCTTTTCTTATTTCTTTTTTTAATTATTTTCTTTTATTCTTATAATCAATAAGAATGAATAATATAAAAGTAATTAATTAAGTATTAATAGCATTTTCATCCATTCTTCCTAGCTCAGGGGAGACTAATCCCGTCCCTTCACTTATTAAAAAAGAGTAATCTTTTTGTTGAACCTATTCTTTAGGTTTGTCTTGGAAAATGAGGAAAGCAATTCTTTGCTTTATTTCTTCTTATTAATGTCTTTCAAACTTCTTCTGCTAATTCTCCTTTTTAAGTCTTTGTTTGTTTTCTACCTTAATTTTAAGGAATTTCATTTTTCTTATTTTATGAATGGGAGAAGGAAACATTTCATTCCCACTATATTATTATGTTTAATTTTCTTTTAGTCTAACCCACACTTTAGTAGATGCTTATATTACAACAATGTAATATTCTACCATAATAAATTGCTCCACTATTTGCAGCATTCCATAATACATTTCTAATTCAAAGGTACCGTCGTAACCAGATAATAACAAGGAGAGTCTAAGCTTGAATTGTATTAGTATTTGTGTATGGTGTTTCAGACGTGCCACATTCGATCTCCTAATCAATAAGAATGAATAATAATTAATATAAAAAGAAAAGAATATAAAATAAAGTTACAATGATAATTAGATAATAATGTAATAAGTATAAATATAATTTAAAATATATTAAGGATATGTATATAAAATCTTTTATATATTCTTATTGTTATG